AGTGGGAGGGTTGGTGCCCAGGAAGCCCCTTCCTCTGGACCAGGAGCAGTGGGACGGTGGCTCAGACGCCCCTATCTCTGGGCCGGGAGTGGTGGGACTCAGTACCGTGGTCTGGTGGTCCGATGTCCTCTGCATCTTTGTAGTGTAGAACCAGGTGGCTGTACAAGGGAGCGGGGGGTGGGGGGGTGGTGTCCAGTAGATTGTTGCTGGGGCGCAGGCTGATTTGGCATGTTCCGTGCAACTCACAACCTTGGTAGGGCATCTTCCCTTTTTAATTAATGTGAACTTCCAATGATTAATGTTGAGCACGATGCACTTAACAGTGGACATACCACGGTTCAATGAAACAGAAGAAAATTTCTTTGGATTTGCCATTCAGATAAGATCAGATCATGGTTCAGAGAGCTGCAGCTCACAGTAGAATCATTGTCCACATTCACAAAATCATGTGTAAACCTCTTTCTTATTGCTAAGCTGCATAAAGCAACCCAGCCAAATTGATAGTCTTTTCTAAACTAAGTGATATATGAAGATAGGAAATAGGGAAGAGAATAAACAAATTGGCTCATGATATTACCTTTAAAAAAATCTAGTCAATGAGACTGTATCATTGGTAGAGGGTAATTAAGTTCAGTGGTTCTGGAATGTCAATAAGATTGGATTTTTACACAGTGAAGAGCTTTTTAAATAAGCAACTTGAATAAATTGTCTTACTTTACAATGCTAGGGACAGCCAATTTTTGGAGTTTGAGTTCTAGTGTTTATCTTAAGAGATAATAAAAATAGTTAAAAATGAAGGAAAATATTGACTTATTTATGCCAATTTAAAAAAATTGTCTTCACTTTGACCCTGCTTTATGTATGTTTGGCTAAACTTTTCTCCTTTATTTCTTACATTCACTTTAGTACCTAATGATTCCCCTCAGAATAGAGAGAACTGGCCTCACCAGAAGGACTAATGTGAGAGTGTTTTCAAATAGACTGGAACTAGGAAATGACATCAGGAGTTCTTCTGTGACACACAGGAAAAGGGCTTGTTTTAGTAAGCATAGGAAGATTTGCTTGACAGGGCGCTGTTTAACTTCAGAGACTCTGAGGATGTTTCATGCTCACCTTTTCCACCAATTCTGCCTTTATTTTCTTTCCTTAAATTATCCATGGGAGCCAGGCACAGTGGATATCTGCAACCCCAGGTACTTAGGAGGCTGAGGCAGAGGATCTGAAATTAAAGGCCAGACTGGAAAACATAGTGTGATCCTGTATAAAAAAGGGGGGAGGGAGAGAAGGAAGGAAAAATGAGGAAGTAAAGGGAGGAAGGAAGACAGAAGGAAAACAAAGGAAATGCTTAAGCAAACTCCTGGCCTATGTCCTCAATGTATCTCCATCACTCATGTACATGTGCATTAGGATTGACATTCTTTGCTTTGATAAAGAATTCACCTTAAAAGTTCTTGGTTAGTAAACTCTAAATAATCCTTACCTTCCTCAAGGGCTAAACATGTGTGGGAGTGAATGAGGGGATTTGTAGGAAAGATGAAAGTGCCAGAAATTTCTACATCTCTTGAATCTTGGTTCCAGTCTTGTCTCTCAATTGAGTAATAACTGTATCACATGGAAATCTAATTTTATTAAAGTAATTCCTGGAAACAAGCATTAACCTGATTCCAAAGCCAGAAAAGAACCCAACCAAAAAAGAGAACTACAGGCCAATCTCTTTAATGAACACAGGTGGAAAAATCCTCAAGAACTAGTGGCAAACAGAATGCAGAAAGTCAGCAAAAAGATCATACATGATGTCCAAGTAGGGTTCATTCCAGGGATGCAGGGATGGTTCAACATATGCAAATCAATAAATGTAATACACTACATAAAGCAGAAGTAAAGACAAAAATCACATGATCACCTCAATAGATGTAGAAAACATTTGAAAAATTCAACATCCATTCTTGGTAAAAAAAAAAAAATTGAAGAAAATAGGAATAGAAGGTCTTTATCTCAACCTGATAAAAGCCATTTATGACAAAACAATAGCTAATATCACCCTAAATGGAAGGAAGCTGAAAGCTTTCTCTGTAAAATCAGGAACAAGACAAAATATTCGGTCTCACCACTTCTGTTTCATATAGTTTTCAAAACATTAGCTAGAGAAATAAGATAAGAAAGAAATAAAGTGGATATGAATCAGAAAGGAAAAAGTTAAATTATCATTATTTGCTGATGACATGATCCTCTACATAGAAGACTCCAAAACTCCACCCAAACACTCCTATAACAAATATTCAAATTTGACAGAGTAACAGGATACAAAGCCAACACTCAAAAGTCAATAGTGTTCTTTTATACCAATAACAAACTCACCAATAAGGAAATTAGGAAAACAATACTCTTCCCAATAGCATCAAAATAAATGAAATACTTAGGAATTAACCTAAGTAAGGAAGTGAAAGACCTCTACAATGAAAACTATAGTACTCTGAAAAAGGAGATTGAAGAGGATATCAGAAAATGTAAGGATATCCCCTGTTCCTGGATAGGCAGAACCAATATAGTCAAAATGGCCATAATTCCAAAACTTTTATATAGATTTAATGCAATTCCAATCAAAATACCAATAACATTCCTTACAGAGCTAGAGAAAGCAATCCTAAAATTCATATGCAACCAGAAGAGACCTAGAATATCAAGAGCAATTCTGGGCAACAAGGGCAAGGCAGGGAACATCACAATCTCTTACTTCAAGTTACACTACAAAGTTACAGTGAACAAACAGCATGGTACTGGCGAAACCCAAACAAACAAGCAAACAAAACAAAACAAAACAAACAACAACAACAACAAAAATAGACCTGTGGATCAATGGAACAGAAGATACAGAAACAACTCCAGGAAGCACACTTAGCTGTTATCATTGACAAAGGTGTCAGATCCTTTTGCTAGAGGAAAGATAGCCTCCTTAATAAATGGTGGCTGGGAAAACTGGCTATCTACATGCCAAGGGTTGAACTTAGGCCCTTATCTCTCATCATGCAGTAAACTAAAATCAAAATGAATTAAATATGTAAACATTAGAACAGAAAACACTTAATCTGCTGAAAGACAAAACAGATAAAACTCTTGAAGAAATTGGTATAAGAAAAGACTTTCTGAACAAAACCACAGTTACACAAGAAATAATACCAAGAATCAACAAATGGGAGCCCATCAAATTAAAATGCTTCTGCACAGCAAAGGAAACCACTAGCAGAATGAGGAGACAACCTACAGAATGGGAAAAAAATTATGTCAGCTATTCCTTAGACAAAGGACTAATATCTAGAATATATAAAAAACTCAAAAAGGGAGACCTCCAAATTTAGACTGAAAAATATGGGTCTCTGAAATGAATAGACACTTCTCAGATGAAGAAATAAAAACAGCCAATAAATACATGAAAAAATATTCAACATTACTGGCTATTCTAGAAATACAAAAACAACACTGAAACTCCATCTCACTGCAAAAAGAATAGCTACCATCAAGAAATTAACCAATAACAAATGCTGATGAGGCTGTGAGGAGAAAGAAACCCTTCTCCACTATTGATAAAAACACTGAGGAAATCAGCATGGAGATTTCTCAAAAAACTAAAGTAGAAATTCCATTTGACCCAGCTATTCCCTTCTAGGTATATTCCCAAAAGATTTAAAGACATCAATCATATCACAGTGTTACATGCATATATCCATATTTATATCCTTATTTATATCAGTACAATTCATAATAGTTAAGTCTTGGGAATAGCCAAAATGTCCATCAACAGAGGAATGGATAAAAAATGTGGTGCTTGTACACAATTGAGCACTGCTCTGCCAGAAAGAAGGATAAACTGGAGTCATTTGTAAAAAAATGGATGTACCTTGAGATCATAATGTTAAGTGAAGTATCTCAGACACACAAGCTTAAATATAGCATGATTTCTCTTATATGAAAAACTCAATATATATATAAAGTACAGTGGTGTCTTGTTTCACAAACTTAATTCTTTCCATGATCCTGGTCACAGAATTCATTCCATGATTCTTATTTTTATGTGGAAAAAATTGAGTTTGTGAACCAAGGTACTATTGTATGAATAAAAGACAGATAATAGGAAACAAGAAAAAGAAAAAGAAGATATCATAATCCGGTGCAAACAATATATCTAAAAGTATAACTTGACTTAGTACATTGGGTTACATATTTTATATATTCTTTGGCCTATTGGTCTGGTTTTCAATCTGTATATATGATAATTAACTTTACAAGGTATTGCAAGATAAATGAATCTGATGCTAGAAAAACAAAAGAAGGTGGAGGAAAGAGGAAAAAGAAAGGAATTTAAATATGTTATATACATGGACCAATTCCCTACAATGAGTGTAATCATTATGTATGGCAAACATGTACTAATAATACTCATAAAAAAAGAAAAATTATTACATCTCATTAATTACTTGTGCCAAAATAAAAAAGAGAAAAAGGCAAGATTGAGCAAGATATGAAGATGAACTATTGGGTGGAATTTTTAGCTAACTTAAAATTTAATAATTTGTTATTCTTGTCTTTCAATCATATGCTTTCTCACTCCTTCTTTATGCAAAATAACTCATTCCTTATTTTGGAGATCTCTTCCTACTTTATGAATTCAACTTCACTGAAAATTTACTTTCTGGGACAACTTGAATCTCGCCTCTTTAACAAATATATATGTTTTCAAATTAACGTAAGACAACTTAATGGCACAGTCATGTACGATTTGTGATGACTAAATATGAAAGGCCTAAGAATTAACATTTTATTTTTGGTTTCTAAGGGGTTTACTCTTGATTAAAATTAGTTTGGTAGCTTATATTGTTTGTTTTCTTTTTATTGCAAATCTCATTTTTTGGAGTTTAATCAATTTTGTGGATTTAGAAACTTTTGAGACAATCTAGTTTAACCATTCATCTAATTTAAAAAATTAGGAAACTTAGAGAGGTTAAATAAATTATCTAAATTAATGTCCCTAACATTTTCTTTTTCTTCTTTCTTTCTTCTGCCTGCACACATGATAGTTCATTGCATCTCCATGTTTATATGAGTACTAAAGCCTACAGGAGTATTGCTTTCTTGGTTGGTGAGGAGCTATCATTTCAGAGAATTGGCTATCTTCTCAATCAGATATTTGTCCCAAGGCCACAAAGAAGATGGTTTTACTTGCACGCCATTGAGTGCTACCAGTATTATCTAGGCAAATGGCCAAAGCAGACACCCTTTTGTATAAAACCTTTTCCTCCATTTCTGCCACCCTCACCTACATTGTGGTGATGCAGTGTGACCCAGGCTTGCCCCAAGTGAAGTTATATTCCTGTTCCAATTAGGACCATCAGTTACTTATACAGTTGTATTTCAGCTGAAGAAAACTTATGTCCTTATGAAGTAATGACCTGACATTTGACACATTGTTTTTAAAAATATAAATGGTTTAAATAGATTAATTTTAACTGAGAGGTTGAATGGAAGGGATGCTTTGGGGAGGATAAATCCCCCTGTACTCTTTGGTTATTTTAGGCTATTGCCTTCCCAAACCCAGTCAACAGGAATAAAGACCACTTTTGGGCCAGGGATTTAGCTCAGTGGTTCTGCCACCTGCCTTGCAAGTGCAAAGACCCAAGTTTGATCCCCGGTACCAAAAAAACAAAAACAAACAAAAAGATCACTTCAGAGAATCTGTAGGCTTGTCTCAAGGTTACTGTTTCTTTCTAGAAAGTACATATTTGCCCAAGAAGTGGGCTGTTACAGTAAGATCCTAAATATATTTTAATAATTAAAATGTTAGTTAAGAGATTGTTCCCACAAGTGAGTGACATTTGGACTTGCAAGATTTAAACGCATTGGGTATAGTTATTTTCTTTCATTTAATTCACAATTCTGAATCTTTGTTTTTTTCTCTTTTAAAAGGAGACCACGCCTCTGATGAAAATCATCTCAATAAATAATCCACTTGTTTTCCTTAATGTGAAGAAATTTCATACTGATTTAAAGAACATAATCCAAAGGGAAAATGCCAGCAACCATCCACTTGATGATATCAGCAAGGTAGAATCTAGTTTCACGATTAGAATGTCATAGTACAGATAACTGTACATCATGACACTAAAAAATGTCTCATGTAAATAATACTTTCATTTAGTGCATGTACTCAATTTTTAGGTAGTCACTTTCTTAATTTTTAGGTAGTTTATTCATTTCCTGATGTCTAATGAATATGTGTACCAGGTATTATATCCCTGAGAAGAACAAATAAGACAAATTCCTTAGTTCAAAGGACCTATTTACCAAGCTTCTAAATAAAAAAAAAGCACATTATATCTAACTCCTAAAGAGATAGAACATGACAAATGACAGAGAGGCACAAATTTTTGCCATCACTATAACCTATAAAAGTCAGCTTTATTTCCACAAATAAAGTCAGTTATATTGAATTAAATGTGCATCACTATGATTTATGTAAATGAGCCATATATCAATATTTGAATCCTAAAGTCCTCTGCAATGTGTCCCCCCCCCCCCGCCCCAGGCAAGGCTTTATTGGAGAAGGAGCTGCCAGGGTACCCCGATCAATAGGGCAGTCCAATGGGGAGAGTATCATGAGAGTTGAGAAACGGGATGCTGGGTGATTGGAAGGGGAGGATCACATGAGTAGCAGGGTGGAGCAACAAGTTAGGTTTTGCTTCTCTAGAGGAGGTAGGTTTCACTCCCTCACCCCAAGTGGCTCATTTCTATAATCAGGAACTATTTTAGAAACAGGAGCCATTTTAGAATGTAGGACCATTGGGGGCATTTTGTCTGGTAGAAAACTCTGTCGTTCCAGACTCTTGTTATTATGGAATAGGGGCAAGGGTCTCTTTTTCTGTAGCTGCTTCTTGCTGTCAAAGGAGTGTTGTTGGGTGGGGCCTTTAGACGGCCAAGGTGTGGTCTCATTAGGTGGAGCCAGCATCAGTAGTGAGGGGTGGTAGCCAGCTGTGATGAGTTCCCTGACCATCTGGTTGGTAAAGGCCCACATGTGTTCCTGTAAGAAATTTTGAAAACAGCAGAACAGACAGTGTCTGAAAAGCAGGATTATGCAGAGGATGGTGAGGGGTCCCAGGAAAGGAAGAAGCCATGGAAGCCATTGGCCAAAGTATCCTGGCAGAGATTGTAGTCTAGGTCTCATCTACATTTTTCTGTGTGCTCCCTGAGCTCCTTTACTTTGTCTCCAACAATGCCAGATTGGTTTACAAAGTAACAATGCTTTTTAATAGGAGGCATGTTCCCCCGCTCTGCTGTTTTTATATCCAGAGCTCATCTATTTTGGAGTACTACAGCTGCCAGTGAAATGATTTGGGACTGTGACCAGAGAGTCAGCTACCTTTTCCATATCTTCATTTAGATCTTGGGATGGGGAGTAATAGAAGTGTGTTGATGTTAAGATTTCTGCCACCCTAGTGCAAATTCCCACCAGGAATCCTTCCTGGCTCCCATTAGGAAAGGGAGTACAGGAAGGGCACACTTGTTAAGATGATGGGAAGAAACTTGTAACATTTGGGTTTCAGTATAGATGGTGAGGGGAGGGCTAAGGAGTCCCAAGTAACATAGGGGGGAAGAGGTTTATGCAGCAGAAATCTTGGGAATCATAGATGAAGAATATCCCCTTAGAGAGACAGGTTATGGAAGATTCAGGAATGTTGACAATGAGAGCACAAGGGGTGGATATGTTTTGTTTAAGCTTGGACGAATCTGTACATGTCTAATTGTCATGTTTGGTGGACTCTAGTTGGGATGTAAGGACCTAGCATTGTGGTGACATTTTGTGGGGAATCAGGTTTTAATGGGGACAGGGAGGGGTACAGGTATCAGGACATATGGCTGAAATCAAGAAGATAGGCACATCCAACATTCATTTTGGTTTCCTGGCAGATTTAACAAGGTGGTGTTAAAGAGATGTTGGAATCTCTGATGTGTTTGAACTGCCTTTTTAAGGATGATAAATCAATTCCCCTGAATAGAGGAGGAGTTTTTAAAGCCTCTTTTTAAGTCTAGCTATATAGATATGTATTTTTAATTATGCTTTCCTACTGGGTGTTTAAGACCAAGTTTCAGTGAGACCTATATTAAATAAAATTAACTTTTTGCCATTTATCAAGGTCAATTAGGTCTCTTCAGGCATTATTTTGGAACCATTCATAGAGCCTCTCAGCTCCTCTGTCAGTATCAGCCATCAGGATGGGTCAAGGTCTTGCTTGACCATGTCATTTTCAGTGAAAGCATGGAGGATTTTTCCGTTTTTGTAACCCTCCTTTGGCACATGGTACATTTGTCCTCTGGTGTCTAGCAATCTCCCTGCTGAGGAGGTTGGGTGACTTACCAAAGATGTAGGATCCCATAGAAAAGGTTCCCTCTTAATCTTGTGTTATAGTTATTGTCAGAAGTCTGTAAGCAGAAAGTAGAGGAAAGGGCATGATTTTCCAATATTTATGTAGGAAACAATAGGGCCCAATGAAATTTCTTGGTGATGTAGCCTGGCAAACAAGTTGTTGATATGTAAATAGGCAGGGCCAGGAGAGGATTTTACTTTTTTTTTTGGAGAGTCTTGCTTCCTTCTCTCCCTGGATTCTTTGTTGTCCTTGAGGGGCTAGGGCCAAAATACTGATAGTCCTCTTAGTCCGATTACCTTTCTAGTATTGGTTTCCAAACTTGTTGAACAACCTGAAGAGAAGATCAGTGACATTAGCAGTGCAGTAGGAGCAGTGAGCTTAACTATTATAATTTTATATGAATAGCAAGCATTTTGGAATCTAAAATGTAGTTAGAGGACTATTATTTTTATCAAGCATGGTTGTTCTAGAAGTTGATTTCCTGTAGAATATTAACAGAAAAAATTTTGAATCAGGAGCCATACATAATAATAATAATAATAATAATAATAATACTTTAGCATGACAATCATGACATTATCCTTGTAACAAACTTAGATATGTATCTTAGTATAAGATAGCCATTGTTAAATGCACTCACTACCCTTCAGAAACACATAAAAAACAGGAAACTCTTAAGTTATTACTTTTTGACAGGATGCCATCTAAGGAAAATGTATGGACCTATAAATGTACCTGTTATCATGAGTAGCTGGAGCAGAAGAGAAAGACGAATACCTGGATCAAAAAGTTATTACTATAAACAATATATTAGAACGCCTGTACAGTCAGAAAGCATGAATACATTTTATACACCAGAAAAGTAGCAATAATAATTACTACAATTATATGAAACCTTATGTCCTCTAATGTAGGTTGGTACCAAAAGGATCTTTTAATAACACCTTGTTTTTCCCACCAAAAAATTTGTGTTTTGAAGATAACCAGTATAAACATATCACAATAACATATTTAAGCAATGTTAATTGGGTGTGTATCTTCCCATAAGGCTATGAAAATTACTGGGGCTCCCATTAGTGAACAAAGACCAGAAATATCTGTTTTCTGAGCAGCTGCTTCTTTATACATCAAGGGGAGTCCCATCATCCAGCCATCTCCCCAAATGTAAAAGTTTTTATTTAATTATCTTGACAATTTCCTTTTTACATGACCTGTAAAAACCAGATTTGTAACAATTAACAATTTATTTGTAACCAATAACATAAACACACACACACACACACACACACACATATATACTTTTTGAGTTAGAGGATGTAGACAGCAATATGCATTACAATCAAAATTAATTTTTGACGTCATTCTGATCCACTAGCAACCTGGGAGAAAAGGCAGCCATGCCTTTAATAACATTTATCAAAAATACAATTGGACAAACACAAACAAACAATTGGACAGACAAAGACCAACATGTAAGACAATTTATGAAACCAGAGTGCACTCAAATATATTTAGCCAATTGAATTATAACATGTCTTTTAATTACTAGTCACAATTTTTGTAGGCCAATTAACAGAGATCTCTTGTAACTAGAATCAGAAGGAATAAAAGCACTTTATAACAGTAGCATGATCTTGTGTTATAGTTATTGTCAGAAGTCTGTAAGCAGAAAGTAGAGGAAAGGGCATGATTTTCCAATATTTATGTAGGAAACAATAGGGCCCAATGAAATTTCTTGGTGATGTAGCCTGGCAAACAAGTTGTTGATATGTAAATAGGCAGGGCCAGGAGAGGATTTTACTTTTTTTCCAGAGGCTTGCTTCCCTGTCTCCTCAGGGGAAGCTGAGAGCAGGTGGAGCAGTGGGTGTAGGCACCTTAAAAGTCTCATCTATCTTTGCAGCCTTTTGTTCAATTTAGCAATAGAGCGTAAGAGGAAACACAGAGGTAGAGGGTTGCTGATGCATCTGAGGAGGCAGGAGTGTTAAGTCACTCTCCTGTTTGGGAGGCGCTGGAGCAGCCAGAGAGAGTGGGTGTGTAGTGGAGAAGTAGGGGGCTGGGGGGCTTTGGATGTGGCAAGTGAGATCACTGTGGGGAGGGAGAGCACGAGGAGAGGCCTACAAGGCAGCATGCAGCAGCAGAGGTGGGGTAGTAGGGTTGAGGCAGAGCATGACGGGAGTGATCTGCCAGGTTGAAGGCAGACATGTTGGGGTCTGGGCATGGATCAGGGGTTGTGGGTGTTGCAGTGTGGGCAAGGAGAATCTGAGAGGTGGGGCAAGGAGAATCTGAGAGGTGGCACAAGATTGACAGAGGGTCGCTGTGAAGATAGGAGAAAGCCTGCATGTAGGGACTTAAGACCATTTGCCATTGCATTGACAAAAGTTGTAAAGATCCTGTAAAATGTTTGAGTTGAATGCTCCATTTTCTGGCCAGTGATAATCATTGTTTAATTTATATTGAGGCCTGATTGCAGCAAAAAAAATAGGGCATTGGGGCTTGATGTGGCCCATGAGCCCAAGGGTTTTGAGATTAGCTAGCAAATAGTTACATTCCCATGTTGAGGGAGGGCCAGATATGGAGGGTGAGTATCAGATAGCTCCCGAGGAGAAGGGCAAAAGGGAGGAGCGTCCTCATCCCCTTTGAGGATCTCGGGAGAGAGAACAGAGGAGCCTGACTGATGTGGCT